AGAGAGAGCGCAAGACAAAATGTTACAGACGTTGCAGAAGATGCTATCAGTCACAGCCGACATAAGAATCAAACATATCGTGCGGGACCACACAAATTTTTTTTGTTTTAAATTATAATATTATTAATCTGAGTACAATGGATACTCAAACCATTATAAAAAAAAAAAAAAAATTAAAAGTTTGGTCAATTTTATGATACTACGAGAATCAACTCTACAATAAAATACTTCCACTCCTATAACTATCTCTCTTTTTATTTCCTTTTAGTTACCGGCATGCATAGCCTTGGCTCATAGGACCATTGAAAAAAGGTAAAGCAACACCCCTCCCACATTCCTTTGATCCAGTGAAATGATCTCAATTGCACCAGTTCGAAGAGCCTTTCCACATCAATCTAACTTCCTTTAAATATCCTTGTGTTCTGTTCCAGCCAAATAATTGAAGCTATACAAACAGTCCTCCACCCTACACTCATCCCCTTTGAACCCACTAAATTGCAAAGCATATCCAAGACCACACAAGTTCTTTACTCATTTCAGAAAGCAAGGCTACCTCTACCGCTTTAATTAACTGCTTGTTGTACTGATAAATACCGAGTTTAAATTTGAGGTCTCCTAAATGTGGTTGAAAGTTTATCACATTGAGCCACTATGGTACTTTCAATTTGCTCCTCATAGAGTTCCATATAGGAGAATGATTCAAAATATGTGGACAAGGGACCCATTTGTATTATCCTCAGAAGGATACTGAGAGGGTGTGAATTGGCGGTTTGCGAAACAGCTTGACCCTTTGATGCAAACATTTTGATTTAACAACACTAATTCAGAGCAAAAGCCTAATACCATTATTAGGACAGACTTTTCAAGAAAATGAAAGCTTAATCACCAAGCTGAAATGGATAAACCTAAAAGGAAGAAAATTAATGCTTCATTTGGCAATGTTATATTGTGCTGCATTGTGGCTATTGTCATACTTTTTTCTATTATCTTAAAAAGGCAAAACTCTTAAATTCGTTTTTCAAATAAGAAATTAAAGACATTTATCTTTTTAAAAAAAAATGACAAATTGATATTTTAAATCATCAATTAAAAATCATCAATTATTGAAAGTGTGACGTTATCTTTCCATAAAAAATAAGCTTATATATGATGATATCAAATATTATATAATAAATGATTTTTTTTTTATTTTGATAGCACAATGGGAAGCAATCATTTTTATCCCTTACCTTATCCTATTCGTATGCCATATGACTCAAACTCAATACCTCTTATTTTCAAAGAAAGCAAATGACTACTGAATTATTTAAGTCGTTAGTAATAAATGATTTACTTGATCAATGATTTGAAGGAACAATTTGTTTTTTTATAAAAATTAATTAAAATTAATAAATTTGTCTTTTTAGAAAAAGTAATGTGCAAAAAAAATATCTAAGAAACATTGTTAAAAGAAGCTTCAAGTGACACC